CAGGGAGCGAAGCCCGGAGCGAGAGATGCCCAGCCCAGTGTGGATACTCCCTGTGGCACACTGGCCAGGCAGGCGGCCCAGACCCGGGAGAGCAACAGAAATACACACAGACACATAAAATGCGGACGAGCCCCTGTTCCTGCCTGCATCAGCCAACAGCCAGAGCTCAGCTAAAAAAGTTTCACACAGAAACTTTACTGGTTCTGCTATGTCCTTTTATGCCGCAGAGCCTTCCCCTATCCACCCAGATCTTGCCATCCTCTCCCCCTTCTCAGGAGCTTGCCCCATAGATTATGCCTTCTATGAATGTTCATCCTCCCCACCCCCAGTTGGATCTTTCCTTTTGTCCTATAAATATGTCCAAGCCTCTACTATAGAGACAGAATACCTCACCGGACACCGACTACTGAATGTCTGTCTCCTCAACCACAAGTTCCTTGAAAGAGCTATCGACTTGTCCTGGCCTCTCTCCCACCCAGCAACAGAATTGTATTCTCTCTCTGTTCTGGAGGCCAGAAGTCTGAAATCAAAATGTTGATACGGCTGTGCTTCTTTGAAATCCTCTAGGGGAGAATCCTTCCTTGCCTCTGCCAGCTTCTGGTGGCTGCATGCCACTAATCTCTACCTCCATCTCCTCACAGCCTTTTCCTCAGTATCTACGTCTTCTTGTTCCTTATAAAGATACTTGTCATTGGATATGGGGTCTACCCTGGTAATCCAGGATGATTTCACCTCATGACCTATAAGTCCACAAAATCCCTTTTTCCAGATCAGGTGATATGCACAGGGTCCAGGTATCAGGACAGGGGTGTATCTTTTGGGAGGGATGCACCTTTCAGCCCATTAGGCTTGACACATCCTCATGCCCTCGAGGTCTGCTAGGCCTGTGTCAATTCATCACTCTCAGTTCTGAATCTATAGCCTGGGCACACTCCAGACCTATAGAGTCAGTAGCCCTTTGTTGTGGCCACTTAATAAGCAAATTCATTATCTTCAGTAGGGCTCCCCAGGGTCTCCCACTTTTTCTCTGTCCTAACTAAGAAATACAAACAAAGTGCCTTGACTGCTCTGTGACCCAGCCGGCTGTATGATTTTTCCTACAGGCTTAAACCCCACACTAGGGCCTTGAACATTCCCAGGCACTGATAAAGGTGTTTAGGATATTATCCAAAACACTAGCAGAAACTAGCCTGGGCTACTAACCAGAGCTCTACCTTCAGGAACAGCCATGGTCCAGCAGATGACAATACAGCTGCTGCTTATTCTAGGGTGGTTGACTACACTAGTGGGTGCCTGGCACAGGAATACTTGGACCAGGATTGAGCTTCTCAACTTCTGTGTGGACGCCAAGCACCACAAGGAAAAGCCAGGCTGCCAAGACAACTTGCATGATCAGTGCACTCCCTGGAAGAAGAATGCCTGCTGCTCCACCAAGACCAGTCAGAAGCCCACAAGGATAATTCCTACCTGTATGACTTCAGCTGGGACCCCTGTGGAGTGATAGAACCTGCCTGCAAATGACATTTCATCCACGACACCTGCCTCTACAAGTGCTCCCATGACTTGGGGCCCCGGATACAGCAGGTGGACCAGAGCTGGGGAAAAGAGTGGGTCCTGAACGTACCCCTCTGCAAAGAGGACTGTGAGCGCTGGTGGGAGGATTGTGACTTCTTGTACACCTGCAAGAGCAACTGGCACAAGGGCTAGGACTGGATGTTGGGGTTTAGCCAGTGCCCAGTGAAAGCTATCTGCCCCCCTTCCATTTCTACTTCCCACACTTACTGCTCTGTGCAGTGAAAACTCCTACAAAGTTGGCAATGACAGTGAGGCAGAGGCCGTTGTATCCAGATGTTGTATGGCCTGAACCAGGAAAGGTGGTGAGGTTCTGGGCTGAGGCCATGAGTGGGGCTAGGCTCCACTTGGGTTCCCCTGCTCAGCCTGGCCCTAATGCTCCTCTTGCTGATCTCCTGACCTCTCTTTGTCTTCTGTTACCTGGACATCCCTGCCCTGTTTGGTGCCATAGCTCCCAGCTATTCCATTCTTGCTCGATGGTGGGACCTCTGACAGCCAGTTTAAATGA